TTATTATTATTATTATTATTATTATTATTATTATTATTATTATTATTATTATTATTATTATTATTATTATTATTATTATTATTATTATTGATAAATTATCACCGATACCATAAGAGTTCTCCAGCAATTGTCTGGGAAACTCTAATGCTTTCTGCCTCTTGGAAACCGAGACAGAAGAAAAAGGAAAGGACAGAGGAAGAATTTAAATTACGGGATGGCCTCGGGGGCTGTAATAGATTAAATCGAGCCTCTTTTGTTGGCCAAGTGGCTGCTGCCAATATTTCATAAAAGGTCGTATTGTTTCCTCGAGAGGAAGGTAAAAGCCCAAGTTATCTTTCACACGCGGAGAACAGCTCGCCACTGGGAAGAGAGGAGAGGGAGGGGTGGGTGGGATGGAGGGGAAAAAGAGCTCTTTGGAGAGAGAGGGAAAAAATTGAGCCGCTTGCTCCTTCACGCAACTTCCACTTTGCTCCTCTCGCTGCCGCTCTTTCCCCTCCCTTTCTCTCTCCAGGCCTCCCCCCTCCCTCCCCCAAAGTACACCCCTACTTCAGATTCGGGGTTGCTTTCCCGATTCAACGTCAGTATTAAAAAAAAACCCGCCCTTTCTTTCGCAACACCCATTCTTGGGCAGGTCTCCCTCTGTAAAACGTTAGGAGGACGTCTTTGTCTTGGGAGAAGTAGAAGCTCGCGTACGTGTGCACCGAGGTTTCCACGCGCGCGCGGTTACAGGGAGTCTCTGAACGTGCACACGCATATTCAAAACTTCAGCGATTCTCCCCCCCCCGCAATCTCCATCTCCACCTCCCATGCCCGCTTTCTAATCTCCTGTCGCTCTCCCTCTCTCTGTAAGTCCTGCGTTGGACTTTTGCAAGATGGAAAACTAAGCGTCCCGACTGACTCACTCTTCTCCCCCCCCCCCCCACAAAACCCTCCCCCGCCTATTGCATTTGTCCCTCTGCTTACCGAGTGGTCGGGAAGAAACGCCAACGGGGGAGGCATTATTGAAGCCTCCCGGGGGCTCTTCTTTATGAGGCTGGGTTTCCTCCCAGACAGACAGAGGTCCTTGCATCTGGGTGAAAGGAGGCTTGTTTCAAAGTCTGCAATCCATGAAGGACGGGGCCAGGGGAGGGGGAGAAACTTTCGGAGCCGGCTGTCTTCCTGAAGAGATCCCGGGTCTTGGTCCCCAGAAAAGGTTCTGTCTCTCGCCCTCCCCTCCTCCCTCCTTCCCCTGGCTTTCCTCTTGAGCGCTGGGACTTCGAATGTATCAGAAAAGTGGGGTGGAAACCCCAGGAGGAAAAGAGAACGAGGAAGAGGCAGCCCATATGTTTACTCCAGTAAGAAAGACGAGGGGCAGTTGTGACAAGTCCCTGAAAATGGAGGAGCGCCGTCTACCATATAAGGTAGGATGCTAACTTGACCTTCACTTTGTAATGGCGGCCCCCGCCCACTGAGACAGACAGTTGTAAACAGAAGCCTCCTGGCAAAAGGGAAAGGGGGGAGGGAGGGTGGGAGGGAGTAGGCCACAAAAATTGCCAATATCTTCGATGATTTGTATACTGCAGCAAGAGAGTTAATGTTTTCTCTAAACTCCAGCAGGGGAAGATGAATGGGAGAGAGAGAGACAGACAGAGAGAGAGAGAGAGAGTGGGAGGGAGGGAGGGAGAAAAGAAAGAGGGGCATGGAAGCCAACCAGCTTCTTTATTAAAAGCCTATTCAGAAGGGCACTCCAGTACTTGGCCTGGTTGATCCAACTCTTGTTGTTGAATGTGGCCTTGAAGTAGTGTGTGTAAGGGGGCTGTGGAGTTGCAAGGAGGAGGGAGCCACTTTTCTTAGTTCAGCTTGAATGTCCCTTCATCAGGAGTGGGAAGCTTTCATACTAGTTTCAGCACCAGAGGCTGAAAAAAATGTTTAATGTGATAAGCAACAGAAGGGTTTGTGAATTTAAGCCAAACTGATACCAAAACAAAGAAAAAGAAGAAACCTCCCTCCCTCCCTCAATTATTTCACTGTTGTGGTTAAAGTTTGAGCAGAGAATAAGATTACATTCCATTTATTACACATCGAATATAGGAGTGGTTCAGTAATGAGGACTGTTTCACATTTGTTTGTGGGTGAGAGAAAGCAGCAGAGGAATTGCTCTGCTTACTGTATCTCTGAATGCCTGACACACATGACAAACACAGACTTACACACACCCACAAACATATGCCAGACATCCACAGAGAAATTTTTTGTCTCCCATTAGAGAGAGGGAAAGGGGGCACACAGGGAAGATGCTAGATTTATTGGTATGCAATATTTACTTAAAGACACTCTGTTTCAACGAAGAGGGAAGGCTGGGGGACCCATTTCTTGGTCAAGGTGAACTGAGGCTATCCCAAATATATATTTTTTAAAAAGGTCAGTAGGATTTCTTTCTCTGATGTCAGGAAGGGAATTTAGGGAAGGAGGGGGCACAAAAAGGCAGTATTGTAACTTCACCCCTCTCCTTTGCTGGTGTAGAGAGATTTACACTCTACTTTCCATGGGACTTCAATGCCTTTTGCTTGGGTTGGATCATGTCCTTTACTTCATTGGTTCAGGCACACTGATAGGGGTAGAGCAGCCGACAGAGATGCTGTTAGGGAAGTTGTAGCAGTGTGTTTGCATCCTGACAAGGTAGGCCAACATGCATGGTGAAGAACAGGCTGGATTTTTAAGGTTTTATAAATATTCTTATTTGTGTCTGTCACCTGCCTCCATGTCTCGAGTCAATGGGGGCTTCTGACCAGCCTCTCCCACCACTACCACATTGGAAACATTCATTTTACAGAGGTATTACATGCATGAGAAAAGGAGGGTGATTCAGTTGGACACTATGCCAATAACTATGGGCAGAGTCCTTGACATTCTAGCACTTTATGCCTTTCTTTCAAACCTCTTGGTTTCCTTTGGATTCAGAAGTAGTTTTATTTGGAAAGCAATAGCAATGAGATTAATTTTAATTTGCAATAATCACTATTGGCAAGAGGGCCATCGACTTGCCTGCATTCTGGTGTGCAACAAGTATTGGGGGAGGGGGAGGGATGTTTCTAAGCAGTGGCTGGATTAAGGCTCACTGGTACCCTAAGC